CCTTCCACAGGAGCCGTGCCCAATGCACTGGAGCTCCTGACAACACTAGCTCCACAAATTCTACCTGCCAACCATGCATGTAAGCGGTCTTGGTCGGCTGCAATATCTGCAGCAATGCAGTCGCGACATTTCTCCGCAATCGATCTTTGTAATCCCGTGTCCGGAAACCGTTCTTGGGATGCCTGGCAACTTTGAAGAGCTCATTGTAGGAGATTTCTTCCTCCTGGGACAGCTTCACGCTATCGGCCTCGAAGAGGAGATCCCCTTCTTCGCCGGCACACCTGCCCAACACCTGCGCCCAGTTGCAAACGTCCCATCTTTCTGGATGTGGACGGAATCCGCGAGAGGGCTTGTGTCTCTCCTGCAGATACTCGCGCACCATCTCCGGACATGTCCAGTTCCACCCCCAGAGGAGAAAATCGAGCTTCAGCCCCAGCAGCACATCTTGAAATGCGCGTAGACCGATCTGCGGCACCCTGAGTGGAGACACTCGCAGCTGGGGAACCTTCGACATTGCGTTTCCTGCACACACAAACGTTCTCCCTTTCGCTCGCTCTCTCACAATCGCCACTGCGCGTCGGCCGCTCAAGCACTGACTGCTCACTCTCTCTGCGCTCACGCTCAAGTTCGCTTCTCGCAATTCTCTCCAAGGTCTGTCAAGATCCTTGCGCAACTCGTCTCCGCACTCTCTCCCCTCACTGCAGGTCGCTCCGCTCTTGCGCGTAATCTTGGAAACTGGAAATCGCAAAATCAAGAATGAGAGAATGAGACTGGAGCGCAGTCTTTTCTTCTCCGATTTCAAGAACGTCCAACGTTCTTACTGGTTACAACGTACGCAGCCGGCTATACGGCCTAACGGTTCGCCCTTTGCATGCGCGAATTCACGTCTCCGCACTGCGCGCATTCGCATGCGTGAATGTTGAATTCTCCCGCCGCCGCCACCTTCCGGACTCGAGTCCGCCGCAGGGTATACGTCGGCCATGTTGTCTTTTCCTAACCCGTCCCTCACCGGAGGCGTGTCGCCGCTGGTGCGTTCCTTATCCGTCGGCGCCTTGCTGGAGGCGCACATCTAGTCGGAGCGAATTACGCCGGCGCGCAGTCGTACCGCTTATTTTGTCCTTTATGCCTCGTCCATTGCTGCCGGCGCATATCCGCCAGCGCAACTCATGGCAGCGCATCCGGCCGTCAGCGCCACGTCGGAGGCGTACATCCGACCGGCGCTTTCCTTCCATGTATAGCCGCCAAAGGCGCTTCCGACTCTGAGTTGGTTTCCTCCTATGAGCGCGTGATTCCGCCGAAGGCGCATCGCCGAGGGCGTACGGGAATCCTTTCCGGCTGTGAACCCTAGCGCGAACGGCGCATGTCCGGCTACGAGTTTTCCGACGCTCATAACTTCTCCGTCCCTGATCCATCTCCGACGCTCTTGGGCTCGTTAGAGCGAGCGTCCCGAGCTCTTTCTAATGCGACTTCAACCAACTGGATCTACTGTGTATTCTGATCGTTATGAAGGTTTTCCCCTTCCGTGCCAGCGGCGCATCGCCGAAGGCGCACTCATGGTCGGACGCCTTCAGAGGTTCGGGCCCTTCTCCTGACGTCTTTAGCAAAACCTCCTCCTGAGGTGTCTGCGCCGGAAGCGTAGCTTCCTCATACGCTGGAAGCGCGTGAGTAGAGACACCTCAGAAAAGAAGCTTTTGCCGAAGGCGCCGAAGACATTGGCGTTGGTACATCCGACTACGTGATTCTTCGTGTCCTCGTGACGATCTCATCAATCCACTCTATTTAACGTACCCTTTTCTAACTACAAACACTGCTTCGGTACTAGTTTTCTAAAATTGTTTAAATTCTGCAAAAAAAACAAAAAGTGTGTTACCACAGCCGGCTGCGAGTTAGATACTTGAACAGTTCCCCCTTACTCCTTCGAGTGACATATCCTGATTGTACTCCTACGGGAAGTTTCCCCTGAATGCCAATGTGAAGTTTTATTACTTCGTGTAAGCCTTGGTTTGCAATTCAGGTTGTGTGTGTGTTACTGGATCGTGTCTCAGTTAAGTTCTCAGTCGGGCCTGCACTCCCTGCGTTTGGTGTGAGTCGAGGGTGACGTCCACGGCGTATGAAGAGGCTTCGTTCCGAAGTGGGAAGTCCAGTCCGGGTACCCTACGCTAGTTCCTGACGGAAGGGCAGTAAAAGCCGGAGTGGGAGTCACTACCTGCATAACCTCTAAGTGAACTTTTGAGACACTTTCCTCCTGAAATCCGAAGCGGAGGTCCTGACCGACCTCCGAGTTGTGCTTTTGCCAGTTTCAGGTGTGTGTGTGTGTGTGTGTGTTGAGTGACTACGCTGTACTGTGCATCCTCCGAGCATCCTCCGAGTCGAGATCCTCCTCTGAGTCGAGCCTCCGAGTCGAGCACTGCAGTATTTCTGGGAGTGACAGTCGCCTGAGAATTCAAACTCTACAAAAGTCTGTTAAACGTGACACTTTTTACTCTGTGTGTTGCCTCTGTCCCTGTGGGTTCGATCTTTTTACCACCATACTGCAGTTTTAGCCTTTGGTGGGTTATTACAGAAATCAAATTCTGTCTCAAAGTTTCGAATGGATGAAAATATTCACACTGGAAGATCGGAAACCGGAAACAAATGTGAAAACGCATGAGAATATCAGGGAGCTTTGTTGCCTAGTGACTATCATGCCGATGAAAGCCAGGAGACGTGATGCGGTTTGGAATTTGTAGGTGTTCTTTCGTTGTGTTGAAGTTGTGTGTTCTTTCGCTCTCATGTAGGTGCTGCGATAGCATATGTGTTCTCCCACCAACGTGATTGTAGATTAGATTGTGATTGGATTTTGATTTAGTCGGGACATGTGTACTCCTCTACTGTACTTGAGCCCACCATTCCTACGAACTACACGTCAACCTTTCATGATCGAGAACTCGAACTAACTAAGTACTCGCTACCTTCCTATACGGAAAATATCATAGCTCCCCTTATTAGCTTTGCAAAATCCTTCATCTACAGCCTTGCCATGATCAGCATGGAAATGACTGATGCAAGTATTGTTGATCTAGTATCACCGAGCCGGCATGGTGGTACTAGTTTATGTTTAGTTTATGGTGTGGGATCACACTGTATTCAAGGTGGATTTGACGGTATCATGCTAACCTTTTCCGGGAAGAGTCTATGTGCCGACTGCTGAACTGGCGTATGTACGCAAGACTCTCCCATATGGCTCAATGGACGTATCCAAACGTATGACCGTATTCAAGGGTTGCTAGCTTAGCGATTGCTTATTTTCTGCCTTCTGAAAGGTCACAGGTTCCCACACACTCACGTAAATGACGTAAATGGATAGTTCACAACCACGTTTGTGAACTATCCATTTACGTCATTGTTCGATTACATCGTTGGCTGCTCGAAAGGGGTCAAAGCTCTTACTTGACTTGTATCTTGATTGAAACTATTCTTGATCTTTTAAAATTCCTTCTCTGTTGTATAACACTCAGCATTAAGTACATACACATCAGAGCCAACATTTGACTTCAAATCTGCACCCAGACCAGACCATGACCATGAGCAGCGACCTAAGCCCACCCATGCCCAATTATAGCATCACCTGTACCCACCCATGCTATGCAAATTACGCCAATTCTTGGTTGGATCTTGACAAATACTGCCCTTAGCATTACTTGTGCCGACCCATGGAAAAATAATGTCATCCAAAACCCACCGAAAACCCATGGGCATGGGTGGGTTTGGGCATGGGCACCCAATGTTGGACTCTAATCGATGTGTAATACACATCGATTAGAGTAAGGGTTTACAATATGATCATAAGAACATCTATGCGTCGATCGATATGTTCATAACATCCATAATACCATCTATGCGGCAGTCGAGCCGGGTGCTGTAACACCAAGTGAAACGCTTGATGGTGTACGCTTGAGAGGTATGTAATATTCATTGGCTTGATTATAAAAACCCACGAAACTTGGCCTAGTAAGGTTTGAACCCAGTTGCTGACGGTCGGGAAGAGATCGAAGAGAACCTTTTGACTCTATGAAATCAGGGGGAATCAAGTAATATATATATAGGTCATATGTGGATCGAGTGATACAACAGATGGTGCCATCAACGAGTGATGGAGAGGTGGTGTTGCAGGAGCTGTATTGATAGCAACGATATATGATTCATCTATGGCATCGCGAGTGGTGTCGACATTCTGCCCTTACATCGTCAGCACGTTTCATGAAGATCATTCGTGTGGGGTGATAGTCATGTGCGTATCAAATACTCCACTGATCACCAGATTCTGTTTCAACATCCTGATATGGTTTTGGCAGCGTCGATCTGACATAGAGATTGCCCTGGAATCCACTGCTGTGCAAAAAAAGGTGCAACTGTTTTATTTACCGGCTTATATTTATGTCAGGTTAGTTTCTCTTAATACATCCAGTGATATCCAATTTTATCTACATTTTAAGGTTTGGTCCCCGTTTATTTGCAAAGACAATTATAGGACAAGGACAAGTTTGAGATTCGCGATATACCGCACCTCCGTTAGCAGAGACCACGTGTAGCAAAAGCGTTGAGGCTAAAGTGGAGTTAATAAGTAAATCTCTTACTACGTTTATGACCTACTTCAGTAATATAAAACAAAAGGATTGGAATTGCACCGCTGGAAATTGTTACGTGTAAAGAGTATCTTCTGTTTGCTGAAAGTTGAAGTCTCCTACTTGATCCATGCAATCGTCTTATGCTGATCATGAAGCACCTCGCAGAGCAGGATGCTCTAGCTACCTCCAGCCTCAAAGTTCCAACCGTGCAAATGCCAGCTCGGCTCGCATCTGCACGTGTTTCGCATTCGCTGTTTGGAGAATAAGGTACACTGTGATATTTCGCAGTTAGTCACGGAGTCCTGGCAACAATCACGGCGAGCGCAGCTCAGCAAAGAATGTACACGGCTGATATGCAACTACTTATAATCTTGGACCATCGTCCTTTGATATGTCCCCCTTTAAGGTTTTAGGTCCAGAACTCCAAGAGTAGGTGGATTCCCTCGATCAAATTTCCATTCTGTCGACATCATCACGAGGAAGAAGCGAAACTGCCTGCAAGCGAGGGTCGCTGGAAACAGAGTAGCCGTGAAGAAGTGATCCGGTGCTCAATGAGAGGGCTGTCAAAAGACTTACGTCGTAGGAGTCGGATGGGGCCTAAGATCGAGAAAAAGCCAGATGGCTTTTTCTCGATCTTAGGAGATCTCGATCTTAGGAGCCAAGTGAAACGACTCAAAGATATCGCTAGAGGGGAGCGCGTTCCGGACAAGCTTTCAGAGATAAAAGATAATTCTGAGTTTTCTTTAGCCGCATGTAGCGAAACAACCGCAAAATTGTATCTCGAACGACGACTCAAAGATATCGCTAGAGGGGAGCGCGTTCCGGACAAGCTTTCAGAGATAAAAGATAATTCTGAGTTTTCTTTAGCCGCATGTAGCGAAACAACCGCAAAATTGTATCTCGAACGCATGTTTCCCGTGCCCCCCCCTGGAACCGAGTTTAATGATTTTATTGAGTTTATTGACTTACAAGATTTTAGGAGCGACTGGTATGTGCTTTGGTTTGAGCTAAAACCCCTTGATTTTAATGATTTTGTTTGCTTTCAATCTGGGGAGGCCGTGCCCCACCCTGCCCCGCCCTGTAGCTCCGCCTCTGGCCGGAAGGCCAGTGAATCGAATAGGAGAGTCTCGTTCTTTACCTGTGCAGGAGACTCTAAATTAAAAGCGGAGGCAGACCCCAGTGTAGATGGTGAAGACGTGAAACAACTCCGAGATGTCGCTGCCAAGAACTGCGTTGGCCATGGCGGAGCCAGAGAAATATCTGATTCTCGTGCCTGGCGTTTGAGGAGGGAGGACGAGATCTCCCAGCTTCACCCTGAATTAAAAGCGGAGGCAGACCTTAGTGTAGATGGTGAAGACGTGAAACAACTCCGAGATGTCGCTGCCAAGAACTGCGTTGGCCATGGCGGAGCCAGAGAAATATCTGATTCTCGTGCCTGGCGTTTGAGTAGGGACGAGATCTCCCAGCTTCACCTTGAATTAAAAGCGGAGGCAGACCTTAGTGTAGATGGTGAAGACGTGAAACAACTCCGAGATGTCGCTGCCAAGAACTGCGTTGGCCATGGCGGAGCCAGAGAAATATCTGATTCTCGTGCCTGGCGTTTGAGGAGGGAGGACGAGATCTCCCAGCTTCACCCTGAATTAAAAGCGGAGGCAGACCTTAGTGTAGATGGTGAAGACGTGAAACAACTCCGAGATGTCGCTGCCAAGAACTGCGTTGGCCATGGCGGAGCCAGAGAAATATCTGATTCTCGTGCCTGGCGTTTGAGGAGGGAGGACGAGATCTCCCAGCTTCACCCTGAATTAAATGCGGAGGCAGACCTTAGTGTAGATGGTGAAGACGTGAAACAACTCCGAGATGTCGCTGCCAAGAACTGCGTTGGCCATGGCGGAGCCAGAGAAATATCTGATTCTCGTGCCTGGCGTTTGAGGAGGGAGGACGAGATCTCCCAGCTTCACCCTGAATTAAAAGCGGAGGCAGACCTTAGTGTAGATGGTGAAGACGTGAAACAACTCCGAGATGTCGCTGCCAAGAACTGCGTTGGCCATGGCGGAGCCAGAGAAATATCTGATTCTCGTGCCTGGCGTTTGAGGAGGGAGGACGAGATCTCCCAGCTTCACCCTGAATTAAAAGCGGAGGCAGACCCCAGTGTAGATGGATCCATCGACAAGGCGACATATGCAGATCGAAATTGCTGCGAACGCCCCGGCAAAGGTCGAAACAGCGAGCAGAACATATTTTCCAGATTTGTCACCCAATGGAAACGCTTTCGGTCTTCAGCTGGATGCGGATCTTGTAGCGAAGCTGGTTTTTCAGAGGTATTTAGTTCTGCTGGGCCGCTTGGAGCTCATGTTCATGTAGATTCTGATATGAGAGATGCGCAGGCAGGGTAAAGGGTCTCACCTCAATCTCTAGAAATAATGACCCTTCGGATCCTAAAGGTTAGGATCCGAAGAGGTGTTTAGGGTTAAAGACCTAAACCCTAAACCTCGTGGTCGGATGCCCTCTTTGTAACATGTGTCAATTTTTGCTGGTTGAAAAAATTAAAATTATTCTCTAAATTCGATTCTCGTGCTTCCACAACACAGATAGGCTTTTGCAGATTATCCACTCCCACCACTAAAATCGTCTTACTATTGCAAAAGATGAGGGACTTGCGGGAGATCAGGCTAGGTGACAATTCACGTTTTAAGGAGTCTGTGACACCCAATGTTTTCTAATATCTAAGATTAGGATCAAACTGCTTGAATCTCAGCAGAAAGCGATATAATAATCTTGGCCAGAACTTGAACTAATCGACTCAAATAGAATCATGCTAATTATCCTGACATTGTAGATTTAATGCTCGAGTGAATCAGCTCATGCTGCGCTCTTGATGACTGCGTATCTGGGTCTGGGTATTCTGTGCTAATCTTGAGCGCGGATCAGCTAGTCTTGTTGCAGTTCCTAGTTCCAAGAGTCGATACTTTCCTTAAAGATGGTCGATCCCATTCTGGTACATGCAGAGCGATCCCAAAGTTTGTATCCTTCAGTGTTCGAATATGCACCGTCCCTTTAAAAATCAAGATGTTGAGTTTGTGATGCAGTTTGAAATAGAATCGGCTTCGGACAAGTGGATGATAAGTTATGCTCATATGTTCAACTCTACATGTGGCTCAAGAATAGGCACTGAATTCTTCATAGTTTTACGTTCTGTAAGAAATATATCAAAATTTTGAATTTAGTATGCTTATGTGGATATTTATATATATATATATATATATATTCACACACACCTGCGTTCCAAGAATTGATTTCTGGAAAAGATTTTGATTTTGAGCGAATCTAACATTTATTGAGTTAATACTCAATAACGTTACATGTATTTATTCATCACTTGGTAGTTGAAAAGAAGAAGCATTTCAACTTTCTGGAGACTACCGTCATTGTAAGCAATAAAAGACTACTTGACGATAATAACGATGACCAACAATTATGCAGCGTAAATCACAAACAATTTCATAATCAACAGTATTAAAAAATTATGAAACGTAAGGCTGCTGAATATATTGAAAGATCTTGCTTAATTTGTAAAATTCTCTTACAAGCATAAAACGAACTTCAAACATGCCACGTTAATTTTATGACCAAGAGATAGTAATAACTTCTCAGTTTAGAGCAATACGAAAAGTTAGATTTTAGTTACATAGGTTACACACCATAAGTTTTTGACATTTTAAGTTTAAAAAGTGCACTTATTTGATCCCTTGAAATGTTTCAACTATACCTGTAAGAATGTACGTAAACAGGCCCTATTATAAAGCTGACAAAAGTCCAATCGTTCTTACGAAAATGAACTAGTAAAAGAGGTTAGAAGTACATTTTGAAGACTGTGCAGGTCCACATTGTTTTGAATTGTAGATGACTTTGAGGAATGCTGTTTTTTGATGACTAGTCTACAGTCTTCAGTTATTGTGAAGGATGGACAAAGGAGCGATGTTTAGATTTGGTCCGATAAGGAAGATGCAGGTTGCTACTGCTGTACAATGGTTGAATATCAGGCAATTTTAGAGACTCATTGAGCTATTGTGTGTTGGAGGGATCAATGTTCAGCCATTGTCAAGTATTGTGCTAGTTATGTCTAGTTGATTCTATAAGACCGATGCAACAGATTAAAGCTTTTCAAGCCTTTTAGGGCCTAAAAATACAAAATATCCTGATCACTCGATGGGTGCGTGGGCGTTATGGAATGGTTAGTTGAGTAGGATTGAGTAGAATCTAAATCGTTATGGAGCTGGAAAGGAAAGTCTTAGGTTTGCAGTTCATTAGGATGGTAATGCAAATCTCATAAACTTTAATCAGACGCTTTTGCACTGAGGTTGGCTAGCTCCATGCCTTGTTCCTTACCATTAGCTAAACTAATTTGGATTTCTAAGAAGATGCTCAACGGTACGGTTATTCATTTGTCATGTGCATACAGTTTAGCGTTTGCTGAAATGGTATCATGTGCTTTGATGATCGTCAATCCAACTTGTTCATCGAGTTTTATGGTCGTGCTCTGAGCTGATATTTAAGAAGGAAACGATTTGGACGAGGATATTTGAAGACAATGTACATTTCGATGACGTGCGCTAGTATAGTCACACTTTGATCTTCGCAGCCTTAGCTCTTGGTTACACAGTAACGTGGTGTCAGTAACCAAATACAGGAAGTGCAACTTGCTGCAATGAGGAAGTTGGAAACTGGTAACTTAGGTCAGAAATTCTTGTAGGACTAAAAGCTGGAGAGTGCAATGTTGCATATACAACTCAAGTTGTAAACTGTATATACAAGTCAACCTGAAAACATATTCCACATGGACAGTTTGTGGGTAGCCGAATCGACTAGCTATAGATCGATTGCCATGATCATCATCACTGAGCTATGCTGAACAGCAGGCAAGTACTTATTCATTACTGCATACAGGCCTTCAGTGTAGACTGGCGAGCTGTGTCGAGACAGTGCACTGCAAGTGGTGTGATTCATTGTCAATGTATATTTTCTTTAGTTTCAGATTCTTCGATCATCGCATTTTTCTATTAATTTTGTAACTAATATCTGCTCCAAAATACACCATGGACATTGGAAAACTTACAAATATCAAATTCTTACATCAAGTTGGATCAGAGCGTGACAACCCTGCGCAAGATGAATAGTATTTAAAATATTGCAAGTGGAATCCTTGCGGCTAGTGGAGAGTTTTCATCTTGTAAAATACCAGACACTGTTGTAGCAAATATTTAGCAGTTCCACCAGCGCATGCGCTCGTCGTCGCCCTCCTCTCGGTTTCACTATCTGCGGCTGTTACAGTGCATTTAGACATTGTAGTCACCGTGAGTACACGATCAACGACATATTGAATCATAAGGAATTCTCGCCATCTCACAGTGGCTCGCGAAAATTGGTGAGGTGACAATGTCAATGAATCCACTTATCATGGACGTGATGCCATGAGCCTTCCTTGACCTTCCTTTTGGAATTCACTAGTCATGTTCAGATATTAGACGCGTCAAAGAAAAACTGTACAATTCTGAACGTTTTTGTTTGCACTGTTGCCGTGCATAGTTCCCGGCGAACGTCATAACTTGCAAGAGCATTCTATGGCTATGGTAAGAGGAGCTTGAGTGCAAGATTTCCCAGGCCTAAAATACCATTGTATTCGAGGACTTAGAAGGAATCAAGGGATACCCGGTCAGCGTCTAGGCAGATCTGGTACATAAAAAGCCCGAAGATTGAATATGAATTTATTCTGATAGTCGAAGTTGATCTATGTGCTAAGTTCATTACTCGATAGATCTCACAACAGGGAGATGGATCAAAGAATCCATCTCCCTGTTGATTGCAATTGCGAATGGGAGATGAATATTTGCCGGGAAGAAGGATTACCTTACGGGCGATGGGATTCTCGGGGCATAGCTAGTACATTATTCAGTTCTCATAAACGTGACAGATGGAACGACGTTGCATCTGCTTCTGCATCTGCGTTGTCAAGGCTAGGATCCCCTCGAGAGGAACGCACTGAAATTTTTTGCACATTTTTCAACGCCCGCGAAGGCATCTACTGAGCCCCTGGATGTAGCTCCCTTTCAGGCATTGGATTGCTGCAATGTATGTCCTTAGCTCACGATTCGCACGTCTAGAATCAATAAGCTCATGATTGATTCGGCACTGCAGAAGTTTTCCGATAATATAATAATCGAGGAGCCTAGCCAGATGAAATTCGTGGGCAGTTCTCGTGCAAGCGTTTGGATCTAAGACTATTGAGAGGACTAGTATCAACAGACCAGGAAATACCTCGGGACTTCATGGATTGGGCTGCTATAAAACAAAAGCGAACAGCACTGAGTTTCACGACCCCTTGTTAGCTTGATTGTAATTGATGGCTGGATATTTGCATCATAAAAAACTGGTATCATCAGAGATATGCGGCTTAAAGTTGAAGTTCTCACTTCCGACCCATTTCCCTATCATGACGGACAGCTTATGAATATGTCAACCAGTTATATGAGACGAGTGAATCGCTTGTGAACTACTGTTAAAGAAAGATCAGAATAACACAAATGTTTACTTGACATGTCAGATTGGCTTCTCTGGTAAATAATGAATCCGAGGTGCCGAGGTTTTATGTGACGTAGGCGACAGTTCTTCTTATCTTCTCAGATTTAGCTGCGGGGCACGTTCAAGATGGTTACCACATTCATAAGGAACGGGACAAAATGTGCAGTATGTATAAAGTGCTCTTACATCTCCAATCAATGTCAGGCCTGGAGCCGCTGCCATGCTCGTCCGCAGTTCAATGTGCCGGTGCCTCTAATGTTGTCGAAAACTTGAGGCCAGCAAGGATGCTCAACTTGTTGGTCTCCGACTGCGAGCTGAAAACATTTTCGATGCTTAGTGCTTGTGAGGATTTACCCCTCTTCCAACAGATCAAAACTGACGAGAATTCTGACGAGCACGCAAACGGCCAGGTTCTGCAATTTCCGGATGCAAGTAATTTCCGTCATGAACGCGATGCCAGAAGAACCTAATAGACGAGAAGCGTTGAAGAGGTGGCTCCAGGAGTTCATAAGTAAAGAGGGTATCGAACTCAAACAGGAGGATGACACTGGGTTGATTCCAAAAGGTACTAAGAGTGAAGAACTTCCTCCGCACAGGAAAATTCATGTTGTTCCTAAGCGTTTGAGAAAGGTTCATGAACGAGAGGAAGACTGCTTCACACCACAAGGTTTTGCGCTCGGGCTACATAATCTCGTCAGCTGTTTTGATGACTCTAAACTTGATTTCAAGTTCAAGCTAGCTAGAGCATTCTCACGTCATGTTTTCAAAAAGGAAGGCGATTCAGTGGAACCGGTGAACCATTTGGATGTTTCAGGGAGATGGAAGCAACTCGTCAAGAAAATTGTTGGATCCGCAGAGGAACACAAGAGGGACAGGGACGCCTACCAGGGCTTTCGTTCGTGGACACTGGAAGTAAGGTCTGGAAGCTGTAATTTAGTCATCGAAAATTGGCATTTCGCGCTTCTTCTAGCCGTGGATGCCATTTTCCTGGTGTTATCATTAGAGGCTAATTTGATTTCCCAGTGTCGGGAGAACCAAGACTCCAGATACGGCAGCGATTTTCTGGACATAATAAAGCTTCTTACCGACGGCAGATTGTTTGAGATTAGGGAATTCCTGAAATGGGACATGTGTCTCGTCGAAAACCAGGTCCCTCTGAGATTGCTGCGTGCAGTCGTCGAGCTAATTCCCGAAGGAGAAACGAAGGACATGCGTTTTGATGCCATCATCCAGCATGCAGTCTGGATATCGTACCCGATCCTCCCGAAGGACTCGGAACGTCAGTCCTGTGAGGATTTTCTGGGCTGTTGTTGCCCCTTCTCGTGGGCTGACGATCTCGAGGATGGGAGCTGCAGTGCAGGCTGCTCGACAGACGACGCGTTCAATTGCTTCCGAAAGGATTGGGAGAAGAATTACAAGAAGGCCTTCAAGCCCGAGAACTTCAAGCCCGAGAACTGGGCTCACATTCTGCACTGCACGTACGTGGTGAGCAGCAAGATGACCTGGCCTGAGGAACTCGAAGAGGGACAACGAGGTCCGCAGCGCTGGACGCTCGCGCGGGCGTGGTCGCGGTGGAGAGCCAGCGGGTCGAGATCTCGACGGCACCGGAGCCCCTGGACCGAAAACCGGATCCCATCGGCGACCCACCTGCCTCACTTCGGCGTGAAACTCCGAGGCGGCGCGACGAGCATCGCGTCGCCGTCGTTCGACACCGTCAGCATCTGGACGGTTCTCAGCTCGATGTGTTGCTTCGTGAGCCTTCTCGCTTGCTGCTTCGAGTCCAGCCGCTCGTCCATGTGCACTGCGCGATGGCAAGCCTGTCTCGAGTTGCCCAAGGTGGAGATCTACACGGAGACGAAGCGCCTCCTGCGCAATCTCACAGTTTACGAAGAGCTGGCTTACGGATGCAAGAGAGTTCTGTGGCGCAACTACGTGAGGACCATGCGCTGCCTGCTGGAGACGGAGGACGACGTGCTGCTGCTGATTCGTTCCGGAGTTGTCCAGAGTCACCTGGCAGGAGCCCTGGAAGTCGTTCAAACGTGGAAGATCATCGACGACGGTCTGATGGCGGCGCCTCTGGAAGATCCATGGATCGAAATCTACCATAATCTACACGAGCACTTGCGAAACAGATGGAAGAATTGGTACGCCAGATTCTGGATTGCCAATTGTTCCAATCCTATAGTGGCTTGCTCTTTCGTCATCTTCGTCAGTTTGTTTCTTCTTACAGCTCTTGGAACTTACCTCAACCTCGCCAAGGCCAAAGCCGATAAACAGCTAATGTGGCCTTGAATCCGACACAAGTCAGCATCTGCTGCTCGCCGTCATAATTCTAGTTGCATATCAGCTGGCCTTGCTGTTCTGGGTCTCAGACTGTCGCTGTGAACGAAGCTCAATGTCGGTGTAGATAAACGGAAAGTCTCTGGAGCTTATGTGGCCGCTAATTCTCGCGCTGCACGCTGTCTTACTCGTAGGAGGAATGTTTTCATGCATTGTAATTCTGAACATCATTGAGCATGCATGCATTCGGCTGAAGATCCAGACTTCCCACGAAAAAGGTGTTACCATGAAGGTCCAAAAAAAATCTCCACAATGAAGTAAATGCCAATCAAAAGTCCTTGCCCAAGAAACTCAAATTCGGTCTCAAATTTTTGAATGGATGAAAATATTCACACTGGACGATCGGAAACCGGAATCAAATGTGAAAACGCATGAGAATATCAGGGAGCTTTGTTTTCAGTGACTATCATGCCGATGAAAGTCAGGAGACGTGATGCGGTTTGGAAATTGTAGGTGTTCTTTCGTTCTGATGAAGTTGTGTGTTCTTTCGCTCTCATGTAGGTGCTGCCATAGCATATGCACATCTTTAGTTCTCCCACCACCGTGATAATATATTGGATAGTGATTGGATTGAGATTTAGTCCGACACATGTGTACTCCTCTACTGTACTTGAGCCCACCATTCCTACGAACTACACGTCAACCTTTCATGATCGAGAACTCGAACTAACTCAGTACTCGCTACCTTCCTATACGGAAAATATCATCGCTCCCCTTATTAGCTTTGCAAAATCCTTCATCTACAGCATTGCCATGATCAGCATTGAAATGACTGATGCAAGTATTGGTGATCTAGTATCACCTAGCCGGCATGGTGGTACTAGATGAGACATCTAGTTTATGGTGTGGGATCACACTGTATTCAAGAGGGATTTGACGGTATCATGCTAACCTTTTCCGGGAAGAGTCTATGCGCCGACTGCTGAACTGGCGTATGTTCGCAAGACTCTCCCAAACGTATGAACGTACTCAAGGGTTGCTAGCTTAGCCATTGCTTATTTTCTGCCTTCTGAGAGCTCACAGGTTCCCACACACTCAACAACATTTGTGAACTATCCATTTACGTCATTGTTCGATTACATCGTTGGGTGCTCGAAAGGGATCACAGCTCTAACTTCACTTGTATCTTGATTGAAACTATTCTTGATCTTGGAAAATTCCTTCTCTGTTGTATAACACTCAGCATTAAGTACATACACATCAGAGGCCAACATTTGACTTCAAATCTGCACCCAGACCATGACCATCAGCAGCGACCATGCCCACCCATGCCCAATTATAGCATTACCTGTACCCACCCATGCTATGCAAATTACGTCAATTCTTGGTTAGATCTTGACAAATACTGCCATTAGCATTACTTGTGCCCACCCATGGAAAAATAATGTCACCCAAAACCCACCCAAAACCCATGGGCATGGGTGGGTTTGGGCATGGGCACCCAAGGTTGGGCTCTAATCGATGTGTATTACACATCGATTAGAGTAAGGGTTACAATATCATCATAAGAACATCTATGCGTCGATCGATATGTCCATAACATCCATAAGACCATCTATGCGGCAGTTGAGCCGGGTGCTGTAACACCAAGTGAAACGCTTGATGGTGTACGCTTGACAGGTATGTAATATTCATTGGCTTTATTATAAAAACCCACTAAACTTGGCGTTGTAAGGTTTGAACCCAGTTGCTGACGGTCGGGAAGAGATCGAAGAGAACCTTTTGACTCTATGAAATCAGGGGGAATCAAGCAATATATATAGGTCATATGTGCATCGAGTGATACAACAAATGGTGTCATCAACGAGTGATGGAGAGGTGGTGTTGCAGGAGCTGTATTGATAGCAACGATATATGATTCATCTATGGCATCGCGAGTGGTGTCGACATTCTGCCCTTATATCGTCAGCACGTTTCATGAAGATCATTCGTGTGGGGTGATAGTCATGTGCGTATCAAACACTCCACTGATCACCAGATTCTGTTTCAACATCCTGATATGGTTTTGGCAGCGTCGATCTGACACAGAGATTGCCCTGGAATCCACTGCTGTGCAAGAAAAGGTGCAACAGTTTTATTTACCCGCTTATATTCATGTCAGGTTAGTTTCTCTTAATACACACAGTGATATCCAATTTTATCTACATAGTTTTAACTCTAAAAATATGTTCCCTTTTTTCGGTGGAAATTAAAACTCTTTAGAATTTGTAACAGCCTCTATAAGAACTACATTGTCTCAAAACACATTTGAAGCCGGGCATTCTGGGGGTATCCACAGTTAGAGAATGGCCTCTATTAAGTGGAGAGGCCTGAAATGCATCAGTTAGTTGAAAGGCTCTAGATCTGGACATGATATACGTTTAGGAGGCTGGGTACATATAAAATTTCCAAATCCCATAATATATTGGTGAACTAGTCCTAATTAGTTGCTAAAGCTATGGCTACTCTTGTTAAGTCAGATCTAGCTTGTATACTCCACTAGACAGTAACTCACTCAGGAGAACCTGGTGATACCAATAATATATTGGTGAACTAGTCCTAATTAGTTGCTAAAGCTATGGCTACTCTTGTAAAGTCAGATCTAGCTTGTATGCTCCACTAAACAGTAACTCACTCATGAGAACCTGGTCATACGTGCAAACAAATGCAGAATAGGCAAGGGTAAAACAATGAGCCTGGTCAATCTTAGCAAGATCATATTTACTGGCAAACATGCAAAGCCCAAATTCGTGGCTCAAACAGCAAGATACTTCGTGCACACCGTGTAACATGAGCTGGCCAGACGAGCGTGAGCAATGTGCCGAGGTAGCACATGTTCGTATAGAAGTATAGTCTTCAGTCCATCATGAAATACGTGAATGAGAACATCGTGCCGTTCAGAATTCAAGCTACATCGCTCTGCCAGCTCGTGCCATAGACGTGAAAAGATATGACTACTTGAGAAGTGGCAACTGGACAAATAGTACTTTTTACATCTCTCGACACTTTTATTGATATGTCCAGTTGAGATGCCAAGTATACAAGATTATGAACACGTCTTCACATCACCCGATTTTCCCTCTTGTTTGATACTCCGTGCACGTGCTGGAAGGACGTACCTTTTTATGGCTTTCAGCAGATCGGGTTCCTCCTCAAAGTAAGATAACTCCGCACCTCTTTGAAAATGAACAGTATTCTTTTTAGCGATTTACTAAAAAAATGTGGTTTATTTCGGGACCGTCTCAAATTAGCAGGAGCGAATTGAAGAAGGAAGAAGTCAATAGATGCATTTATCTGTAGCGAAATATAGCATTTTGCAATTTTAATAAACATAAAGTAATTAGGATAAATTTCAACTGGACCACTCAAAGATATTGGATAGTATCATTTTCTTGAGTTATTTACTTGATGGGGTCCATCAAGTTTCGTTTTACCTTATGATTCTCCACCCACGGCGCATAACTATGACAGATATTATCACAAGTCCACAGAGGTTTTGGGTTTTAGCTGTAGAAAATTAGACTCGGTGAGCAACGGCGGATATGTGGAGGAAATTCACAGGGAGGGAAGCGGAGGACTTGTCAATTCCAGGGTCATGTAATTTTACAGATTTTGGTGCAATGGGGAAGTCTCAAACCAAAAAGGGTCCGGGTCTGATTACAATGAATAAAGATTTGAGCAACTCAATGGTGGAACACGAGTTCAGCCACATGAGTAAAGTCTCGCTATCATGCACCACTTGTTGATACTATAACATGTTTGACTTGTACTGTAAGTGGTATCGATAGGGTAAAACGAAACTCAAAAGGTCCAGTAACATAAATTCTTTATTGGGAAGTAAAGAATGCTTATGTTTAATAAATTTATGTTACGACGGGGTTTAATCAAGTAAATACTTCTCATTTTCTAGCCTCATAGCTATATTGGCAAGTTTATTATATTAAAATAGGGGTTGATTATTTATGTTAGGGTACCCTACCCTTATTTCAGGGAATGATAAAACCTTTAAGGACTTTATATGGTTTGACCTTATTTGTTCACCTGTGATCAGAAAACTGATCATGATTCTTGACGTCCACCTTGATCTCCAGACGCTAGTTAACTGGCTCTTTTCCTTATCATATTGCTAGACTTCATCGGCAGTCTGTGCGCGAGGCAATGCAAACTTGACATTCAGTTATAATGAATACTTGTAATTAATCTAGCACAGCTTCACGTAGAAATTCTTCTACGTGAAGAAATTCTTCTACGAATGGTCACGATGTCTTCATATCTGAGATTCAACGTGAATTTCTCTTCGAAGCTACGATTCTCGAAATCTGATGAAAATGTCGACAAAGGTGTGAAACAGTGGTCCACTTATCCTTTCAAACACAATAGAGTACGCTCGCCTGATAAAACGCCCCTAGCTGGCTATGGAACAAACAATACTCTCCTTGGTCAAATTTGCATCCCCTTGTCCCTAACTACGAGGGCCAAGTTTCTGTTCCAGTTCCATGAGCTAAGATCCTTATTTTCAGCCGCATGCAACGCGTTTGGATGGAAAAGTCGACGGAGTGTACGTTACGAAGTTGAACCTTGACTTAGAGACATATGTCAAGTAAGATATAAGTAATCACCACCGTCTTTGGAGAATGATCTTCTTCAGTCCTGAGGTTCATAAACCAACCGCTATCTTCGTCAGTCCTGAGACTTCTTCAGTTTTGAGAACCTGAGTGACGAGAAGTTTCCTGTGAAGATCGTGAGTCCAACTGAAAACGTCGCATTTTCAGATTGTCGAAAGTCTAGTTTCCATACCCTTCTGATGGATATTGGAGTGTCGCAAGGATATGGCAACCAGACTTCTGACACAACTGCTATCCAGATGTCATCTGAACACAATCGCAGCAAAAGCAGGTTCCAAATTTCCGTAGAGGTTGAGTCTGTCACGGAAGGGTCAAGGATGGGCTGAAATCGATCAAGGATGAACGAGGAGATTCGTCACAATTCCTGAGTACGAATGTTTCTCTTTTCAATCCACATTATTTTCTCTACTAGCATTAGAGAATAGATATCGACACTTGACCCACTCGGTTCGGATGTGCTTGTTATTTTCTGACTGCTTTCATCTTGAACTTGGCTTTAACACGTGACATATCGAATGTTTTGTGAGGATTGTTGGTTGTTTTATGCTTTCAGGTGTATTGAGGCCAACATCTGGAGTGGTGGATAATAGGCATGTTGCCATTGACGAGAAAACCTGGCTTCACAAGCATGTCATGTTCGCTGATTGCGATTTCCTGGCATTTTAGATTCTTCAGAGCAGAATTGCTCCCATGAGAAGCCCATATTAAAGCAGGGACGGGTCCTGCGCTCACTTCATCCACCATCCTGCAGTCGGGCAGCAGTTACACACTGCTCCTACAAGCAAGCCTCACCAACAATTTTATGCAACCAAATGTGCAAGACTCTTCAAATGTGTATGTTGTTGCATGTGAGACGGGTCTGATCTGTCATTCAGATAGAACGAGAATAAAAAGGAACTAAAGAGACTCAGAAGTTTTCAAGTATAGATTGTCTGCTAAATCTAAGCATATTAAGACTTTTCTCGGTGATTTTAGATCTTACGAAATTTATCTCTCGAGGTGTCATTTGAAATTATGGATTGTACCATCGGAAAGTCCTCGTGATTTTAATGCTTCCCAAACAGGAACGCAGCCATCTATGGAGGCATCCAGAACTTGATCAAGACTTGCTGACGTGCAGAAGCTTTGAAGGTGAGTGCAAATGAGCGATGTGGTGTTACAAGTTCATTTCTCTACAACCTCCAGGGCCATCCAGAAAGCAAACATGTAAGTAATCCAAATATTGTAAGTACTTTTTGTAAGCATTGAGGAGTCTAACGTTTTGGACCTGAAACTTTTATTGATTGATTGACCCAGGGAAACTCTTGGTGACTTCATCGGATAGATTTACAAGACATTCCCAGAGCAAGAAGAGGTGTTTATTAGTTCTTCCGAGTTTCAAGCTACATCTAAGATCGATCCCGAAGGACTATATTCTGAGAGAAAGGGCAAGCTTAAATCATGAGCTCCTTGAAAGTCCAGCACACTATAATTTAGATGTACATAATTTATTTAGAGAACAGAAGGTATTGAGGATATTGGAGATGTAGTTATATCGAAGAATTGTTTGCTTGATAGGATTATACTGATCCGACAAGTATCTTTCATAAATGAGAATAGATAATAAATACCTGTTATTATCAATATTTCATTCATCCACGGAGTTTTCCATTCGTCAATCCCAAGCGTTGCAGCAGCTTGGTGAACCTCGATTTGCGTTGCTTGGTCCCCGGAACTAGACGCAGGAAATTTGTATCACATTCAGAGCTGACGCTACCGTTGCTGGCAGGAAATCACACGGTTGCAAATTGTTGAAGGTCAAATTGATGTGGGTGCCAGCGAAGAAATGGCCCGAGTATCTCGACATCTGGGTCCATTGGTCTCGCACCCAAAACATCGAATCGGCTGTGTCCGCACTCCAATCAAAAGCAAATTGGATGTGCAGAACTACAATTCCTCCAAAAAGACGTCGGATCTTCTGATTTCTAAAGCTCCACCCAATAAGCAGGAGGGAGTTTTTAAGGTTTGGTCCCCGTTTATTTGCAAAGACAATTATAGGACAAGGACAAGTTTGAAATTCACGATCTACCGCACCTCCGTTAGCAGAGACCACGTGTAGCAAAAGCGCTGAGGCTAAAGTGGAGCTCACAAGTAAATTTCTTACTACGTTTATGACCTACTTCAGTCATATAAAACAAAATGACTGAAATTGCACCGCTGGAAATTGTTACATGTATAGAGTATCTTCTGTTTGCTGAAAGTTGATGTCTCCTACTTGATCCATGCAATCGTCTTATGCTGACCATGAAGCACCTCGCAGAGCAGGATGCTCTAGCTACCTCCAGCCTCAAAGTTCCAACCGTGCAAATGCCAGCTCGGCTCGCATCTGCACGTGTTTCGCATTCGCAGTTTGGGGAATAAGGTACACTGTGATATTTCGCAGTAAGTGACGGAGTCCTGGCAACAATCAAGGCGAAGAATCCACAGAGAGACCAGCATGAGGAAATCAATATTATTACACGCCGTTCAACGAGACCTGAGAACCGGAAAATCACCAGCCAGCCAGAAAACTTGAAGGTCCACGAGAAAGACTAACAATGTTCATGCCTTGCCTCTTCGCATGTTCAAAGGACATGATTCGCTCATACTGGACAGTAGATGATAGAATCCGGGTGCACAGTGCCTCTCTAGGCTGTAGATACCCAGGACCTGACTGTACAAATTGAGTACAGTTCCCGCCGTAGTACGATTTAGAGGTTGCCAAAACCTCAAGTTGCCAAAACTCTATTTTTAACTCTCTTGATTTTTTGTTTCCACATGCTGTTCGGGGTGAGCACGTCGAGGTATATAAGTTACCCAAACTCTAAAGCTAACTCTCTTGGTTTTTTCCTTCCACAGGCTGTTCGGGGTGAGCACGCACCTTGAGCGATCGTCCACTCGCGATTATCCTCAGGCATCTGGTATTTTCTGCACGAATTTCTCGCATCATGGTCCTGTGAAATTGCTGATTTGAGACGTAGAGCGCAGCTGATATGCACCGACTTGTGATCTTGGACCCTCGTCCTTTGATATGTCCCCCTTGATTTTTTGCTTCCACAGGCTGTTCGGGGTGAGCACGCACTTTGGGCGAGGTATATAAGTTGCCAAAGCTCTACAGCTAACTCTCTTGATGTTTTGCTTCCACAGGCCGTTCCGGGTGAGCACGCACGTTGGGAGATCTTCCACTCGCGAATTCTGACTCAGGCATCTGGTGTTTTTCTCGCACGAATTTCTCGCATCATAGTCCTGCCAAATTGCTGATTTGAGACGTAGAGCGCAGTTCACCGAAGAATGCGCACGGCTGATATGCACCGAATTTTGATCTTGGACCCTTTAAGGTTTTGGGTCCAGAACTTCAAGCGTAGGTGGATTCCACCGATCTGATTTCTATTCTGTCGACAACATTACGAGGAAGAAGCTAAGCTGCCTGCAAGCGAGGGTCGTTGGAAGCAGAGTAGCCGTGAAGATATAGCAACTGAGAAGAAGGGATCGCGTGCTCAATGGCACGACCGCGCGGGCTTACCAGACCTTTCTGCGATAGGAGGTGTCGGATAAATTGTGGGCCTAATCTCGAGACAAAGCCACCTGCGAAACCCAGTACTACGTTCACTACTTCTGTCACCTGCCGTGAAGACGTGATCCAACTCCGAGACGTTGCAGCCAAGAACTGCGTTAACGACGAGAAGCTTTCAAAGAAGAGCCAGAACGCCAGTGAATCGAACAGAAGAGACTCAGTCTTTCCCCGTGCAGAACCACTTCTTTTCGAATCAGGAGACCCTAGCCAGCACAACATATTTTCCAGATTTTACACCGGATGTGAGCGCTTTTGGTACGCTTTCAAGAGGGTCGACCTGATACAGATTTTGGGGGAGGTTTTTCGTTCACAAGAAGGGTGCGCTGTTTGAATACGAAATGAAGAGATGAAGGAATAGACCGAGCCGTGCGAGACTTCAATTGAAGTGCTCGATGTACTAATAGCATCGACAGAGCACTATCCTACACCAGGTGTGATGACACTGGATCCATGAAAGCTCTTAACAAAACTGGTCTGTCCGACGACAAATACAGCTAATCTTTTGTTGTTCGGACGGACGGACCAGTAGTGGTGCCCGCCCACACCTCTTTTCCCCGCACGTGATGACTTGGAACACAATGGCTCCGACCCCCGATTGAATCGATCACTTCACTAATGAGCGAAGGGAAAAACAGTGTTCCTCACAAGAACTGGGTTTGGTAAACTGTGTTAGTCTTTTGTTGAGCGATGAATGGTTTTGTTCTTTCTATGAAGCCCTTATTCGTGCTAGTCCGTTTCTACCGATTCAAGCACATGAAGGCAGCGAAAACGAAATAATCTATATCAGTCAGAAAGCTTCAAAGTTGCGGGTAGTCGTGCTTGTTTACATTGTGTATACGTTTTCTGCAGCACTAATATATAAAGAAGTTGCGTATATTTGATGTAGTTTTGCTCGATTTGATTCAATTCATGGACTATTTTTGGATTTCATACATGCTTGGGTGTATAACTCATGTGGCACTGGACAATTCGCTCTCTATCCATGCAATTCTCAGCGAAAGAAACCCCAAGTTTGGAACACACAAGTCGATAGATCCAGTTGACAATCAAGTAAGCAAATATGATTCGTTTTTCTTCAGTCATTTATGAGAGGTTATCATAAGACCAATGAATCGACAGAATAATCTGACAAAAAGGTGTGCAAGTCTCTTACGGAGCAAGCTCATGAGAAAAAATTTCCTACGAACTAACTTTGGGGAAAAAATAACAGTTGGGCCTGCCATATGCAGGATTCAGCTGAAACATGATATTCTTGGTCAAACGAATGCAATCAGTGTATCCCAAAAGTTTTGCGTACGTCCAACAAAACGCGCTTAATACAATCTCAACTCCATCTCAACTCATCTGCATTCAATATTCACTGAGAAACTACTATGCTATATTTGGGACCCCGTTTCAGACATGGTTTAGAGTGCGAATGTATATTGCGACGTCATCATCATTTCAAAAAAGTCGACGTTGAAGGACGTCAAAGCCTCGACTCAAAACCACAGCAGAAAAAATGTCTCATATTAGTGTAAAGTGTAACACGTGAGCTTTGCAACGCTCTTTGTACATATTCCTAAGGTTTTGCTCATAATTTGTGCTAAGTGTCATTTTCAAGAATTGCTAAGATCATTTTCAAAGTGCTCAGATCATTTTCAAGAATTGCCCTGGAGGACAAACTAATACTCAAACTATCTTCAATGTGAGCTTATCTCTTTGATCACCTGCTGCTACATTCAAAACACGCAGCGTCTCGTGAGTGGACAGCTATTTCTATTTCTTCCACATGAGCTTTCTTTCTAAGGAGAGGCCAAGGAGATCCCAGTTGTGATCAAGCTCAACACGCAAGGCGTGAAAGGCCTGCTTCTCTAAGCCAGCCTAGACCTGAAAAGGTCATCTGCTCAGGTTTAAGTTGAGGTTTGGTGCTCTCCATTAATTGCTAAACTCGGTTCAATAGGTTCGCAATTGAATAGAGATCTCCAGCCGAGTACCGCCTGAGAACCTGGGCAGTTACAGACGTATTGAACTGTATGTAATTCACTCCCTCGATCGGAGAAACCCTATTAGTTCTAGATCTAGAAAGCTACTAGAACTGATCAAAAGAGCAGCAATGAAATCACATGGCTCTTAATGGCTGACTGGAGCTGAAATGTAACGAGCTACGGATCCTGCCTCGATCATCCTAAAAGCCGCAATGAGCAGAAACAGCTAATCGCCAAACATGCAAAGATCCAATTCAGCTGCAAGCACGAACTACAAAGAGTCGTTGCTTTCACTAAAGGGAGGTCTAGATATTGGAGAAGCAAACCGTGAACTTAAAAAACTTCAATCCGCAGTGCGGCATAATAAGCGCATTGGAAGCTTGAATCGGCTGTGCACTGGGATCAAAGTTTCATCTCCTCGTGCGAAAGCACGTTGAGCAGACAGCTCGAAGTGGAAAGTCCGTCCATCTTCTCCTGCCCGATACAATCTTAGGACCTTCCGAAAAACCCACTGCAATCACGCCACAAACAAAAGGATCCCAACTGAAAGTGATATCAAATGGAACCTTACAACCTTTTCAAGACGCCTTCTTATAGCTGCTGTGGGCAGCTCCAACTGATCCTATCAATTGAGTATCAAGCGATCCACTCTTTTAGGAGTATTTTGCGGTTTTTGGGGTCAGAACAGTGTGCTGTCCTATTTCATACGCAACTTTACTCCTGTCACTACGCAACTGTATGTCGATCACAATGAAACAACGTGGACCTCCCTGTACCCCTCCAGTAATGTCGATGAAATCTTCTTGCTTAAGCCACTTATACATCAAGGTTTGTCTTGTCAGGCTTGTCAGATTCGATCTTTTCTTAGCTCGGAAATAATTCCTTTCCTCGATAACCTCAAGCCGAAACCGATTACAATAGCTTAAAGGGATGGGAAGATACCATCAAGTCGGAAAGGGTGAATAATGGGATTGTGATATTTTGGAATGTTCGAATTTTTTACTGATAAATTCATTTCGTAGGTATTAGATTTTTTCATGCCTCAGCTATGACACGCTTTGCATTTACTCGTTCCAACATCAACAGCTTAATGCTTAGGCATACATAGTCGCGTAAGTAAACTTTATGTTATTCTGTATTCAACAAATGAAATACCTCGAGTATGTAACAATTCGAATTAAGTTCGACACGTAGTTGATTCCCTACCAGTATGATAATAACCATACCTCATCCCATAGATACATACTGGGATGAGGTGTAGTAATTTTAAGCGACCGCATACCAAGGCGGCTAAATTACCTAAATTTAGTCGCCTTTATTAATACTTTACCAGTTTATTAATACGTCAGTCTGATAGATAACCGTCCTCGGAATCCGCAGTTTGTGAAATAATCTATCCCTCACGAGTCTAGCAGCCCGACTGCAAGCCTTTCCCCTCTCTCTCTCTCCCGTTACCTCCGAACCTCTCACTCTTTCACAAGTGCACTCGAGATTTATTTTGGCACAAAAGCGCCTAAATTAACTTGATGAGACTACATTAAGCTAATGTAGTTACTTCAGGCGACCGTCGAGTTTTTTACGACGAGAAAAAGCTGTACTTTTTGATTCGATCATATGCTTCCTTTCATTAAACGTGATATGGCCATCCGTCGTTATCGTCTGAGGTCATACCAATTTGGTTTGCAATGCGCAGACATGAATGTCTACCAAAATCTGACTTGCCAAAAGTGCAACAGAGATTTATGAAACTTGAGTTCTGGTTTTAAACTCTTAGCGCGGAGTATCATGAATTAAGCATAAATCCATTTTGAGCTGCATGTATCTACAACAGAATATTCAGAACGAAGTATCCCATATTTCGTCGTCTGAATCTCATTTTAGCGGCCCACGTTCTCTTCAGGAGGAGGTTAAACGTTCACTAAGATGGAGGGATCTCAGCTGGTCTGTGCCCGCGCTGATAGGTTGCGCCTCCATCTATTTCTGAGTCAATTTCGCGTGCACTGCAGGAGTTCCTCAGGAGAAGTCAAGAGGAGAACTTGCCTTGACGAGGCATGAGTTAAGCTCCTCTATAATATGCCAGGTCTGAAACAACGGGCCTGACCAGGACTAGGATTTTGTTTTCCAAGCATATCCGATAGGTCTTCATTCTTCTTCACTAGATTTGATGGCTCGGAAGTCATTTAAGTTCTAATATGGCTGGGTATTGTCTTAATGTGTGTACGGAGACGGGTAAACCCGATTTTCCCGATCGGTTTTAGTCAGTGATCCTTCAACAATTTGCACGATTTTGGTCGAAATCAGATACTTCTGGACTTGCCGAAGAATGTACTCGAGAGCGTGTACGAATCTGAAAAAGAAGATGCCTAGCAGCAAGAGCCAAAATTATTCTCCAAAATGCATATTGGGGATTCCCTGGACTTGTAAGGAGTGCCATCTGTCTTTATTATCCATTTCCGACGACTCAGTCTTACGGATCGAGTCGGCTCTATCATGAACTCGCTGAATGCTGCTGTACCTTATTAGAAACTTCTGGAGAAATAACCAAGCGATAAATCAGTGACCCTGCTCATCTTCTCGTGCATGTTAGTGTTGGCCACGTGAAGGCCTTCTCCAAATTGTGGTGAGAATGGTCGGACCCGTTCAACTTGGAGCACGAGTCGGAAATATCTATCACCGTCAGCAGATGTCCATTGTTCCATCACCGTCACCTTGACACCAGAACTAACATGGTCAGCGGTGATATTCGTGACAGCCAGTGGCGTGTGTGGAAGATTCTATTTCTTTCGCAACAATGATCTCGTGGCCCAGGTTCTACACAATCATCTGCTGTTTTTCTACTTGTTTCAATGTTTCTGTTCTTCACGTGCATCACACTGGCGAGCGACTTTGCATGTTCCAAAGTTGAACATGAACGTGGAAACAGAAAAATGATGGCTTCTGTAGGCAGGCACAACCCGAAAAGGCAGATTCCAGACTGAGTCAATGCTGTGCTACCTACGCAATCTGGAGTTATTCATCCTTGGCCTTCACGCCACGATGATGTGCTCGAAACTTGAGACGATGTTCACTAAGGCTTAGAGGTGGGTCCTTGAAAGACTAATGGAGTTTCTATGAATGCATTCACCGTTGACCAGATTATCGCCTCGGACATGACGTGCTCAATTTCCGACTGAAGAGCTCTCCAGACCTATACCGTTTTGTACCCTTCTGACAGAAGCGCTTCGAGCGTTGATGGCGTTCTGAATTTAATGAGAAACTTAAGGCAGAAGTTTTTTTGATGAACGCAGTTATGGAATATTGCATCACTCACTATGTCAACAGTTTTAGGCGTCTAGGGGTTGCACCTGAGGACATCGATGCGAATATTTTGCCATGGTTCATCCTCAACTCTGTTTCTAGATTGCAAATGTGATGAAGGATGTTAGTGACAGTCATCGGTTCCCACATCAAGCAGCTCTCACTGTTACACTGACGATGATGATCTCTTCTGGTTCAATCAAAAATTCGTGATACACTAATATTTACCTATTCGGAAAGTCTGTAGATAAACTTGTCGGGCCAAATGACAGGTATGACTCCAGCACAGAAGGACTCCCAACAGTTTCTTATGTACCTTCTCCTAACGTGCACCGTGGCGTTTAGTCTGTGGTTTTTTTGTGCGTCCTGTAATAAGATCTACTTGCAGTTATGATTCTGATTGAGTTGTTTCCAAAAAGTCATGAACATCTCCCTTTGTTGCAGTGCAACTATTACTTCTTAGCACGAAAGAAGTATGCACAGTGTAATTTTCTCGGGATTCTTGAGGTTACACAATCGGACGTAAATATCACTCCATCTCATCATAATCCATTTCATGCCTGTACTGATGTTCGTAGCCGCACTCTCCACAGGGCTCGATGTGGCGGTTGCACACGTGTTCTTGCAACAAGAACTAGGCAAGGA